AAAGGGCCTGGCGAAACCCTGAGACGAACAGCGAGCCTTCCTCTCTCCCGGATCCCTTCCCTCCATCCCAGCCAAGACCACCTCCTTTTTCGCCCTTCTCTCTCTCTCTCTCTCCGGCCATCTGAAGAGCGTCTCCTCAAGGGAAAGGCTGCCTTGCCTGCTTGTTTTCAGGGTGAAGCTTCTCCAGCGTCTTCCTTCCCAATAAAGCTTGACTTCCGGCATCGCACAACGGCCTCCCGTGGTTTTGTCTCCTCCACCCCAGGACCCCCACACACACACACACATCCACCTCTGAGTGGAAAGTCAGGGCTGGCTTGGGCCCGATTCACCAGCTCCACCCTCTTGTCCTCTCCAGGAGAGGGAAGCGAGGGTGGCTGCCTTTGGGGCACAAGGAGACCTTTTCCCCTTCCTTAGTTCATGAATGTTGGCGAGCTCAAGAGGGGATCCTGCAGACCCTCCGGACTGCTGGTTTCCTTAGATTGTGTGCATTCAGGCTAGGCTTTGTTTATTATTTGCTTAAAATAGTTTTATCCTGCCTTTCTCTTTCAAAAGGATGGGAAGCGGATTGCATCATTCAGATACAATATTGCTAAAAACAAAAGGTATGCCTGTACTAAAAAGGATCAAAGAAAAAAAAACCACTCTTAGAAAAAGTAAACAAAAACACATTGAAATCAACAACACTCTTGATTAAAAAAAAACAACAAAGCCCACTTAGGCAGATGGTCAAAGGATGGGAAGCGGATTGCATCATTCAGAGACAATAATGCTAAAAACAGAAGGTATGCCTCTAGTAAAGAAAAAGAAAAAAAACTCTTAGAAAAAGTAAACAAAAACACATTGAAATCAACAACACTCTTGATTAAAAAAAAACAAAGCCCACTTAGGCAGATGGTCATTGAGGGAAGGCTCGCCAGAAGAGAAAGGTCTTCTTTGCCTCCTTGCCGAAGGACAGGCTAGATGGGGCCAGGCTGGCCTCCAGTGGAAGGGAGTTCCAGAGTCTCTGGGAGCGGCCACAGAGAAGGCCCTCTCCTGTGTCTCCATCACAATTGGTACCTGCGAAGGTGGCGGGACCGAGAGAAAGGCCTCTCCTGATGATCTTAACACTAACCCGACTCACAAAGGGAGTTATCTTCATTAAGATAATTCGGACCCAAGCCGTCCGGAGCTTTAGAGGGCAGAATTAGCACTCTGAATGGTGTCTGGAAATGAGTCAGCAGCCAGTGGACCCAAAGGGTCGCTTTCCTTTCCTGTTTCTTCACGGTGTGGAAAGTCAGCTTCTCACCTCGTCGAAATGCGGGCCCACGATCCGTCCTAGAGGATGATGCTACTGTATTGCGACCCATTAAGGGCTCATCCCAGACGGAAGGCTCATTTTTCCCAGCCTTCGGTCCATCGAAGACCATCACATTCCCTCGTGTGCCACCTTTCCCCCGACTTTGCTTTAGTAGATTTAACTTTTAAGAGAAAGGTTTAGATGATGGTAGCGATTTCTTACTCAGCCGCCTTGGAGAAGAGCAGCCTTCAAAAACCACTCTTTTAAAGAAAACAATTTTAGGAGGGGGGAAATCTAGAATAGATCGCTCTGAAAGGGTCGTGTTTATTTGATTGTGATTTTGTTTCTTCTTGAATGGGAGGAAATGAAAAGTTTTGACCAGGAGGACCAACCAGACGGATTCCTCATACCTTGGATCTGGTCCATTTTGGCCGTTCCGTCTGTTCTTTTTCAGTGGTTGGGGTCTTTTCCTTTTCTCAGTCATGTTTCCCAACCACTGTCTCAGAGGAGAAGCCATCAAATTAAGGGTGTTTTCAGTATCTACCGATTCCTCATCTCTCCCAGCTAAAAGAACACCGTTGTGACTTTCTTTTGGGGGGGCGGGGATAGACCTGGTCTGGATTGGGACACAAATTGCCCGCGAGGGGATCGCTGACATCCCAAAGATGGTGCTTCTAAAGCAAGAAAGAGGAAAGGGAGCACCGAAAAACCCATTAAGAGGAACACGAAAAAGCCCCAAAGTGAAGCGTTTCCAAGACGTCTCAGGAAACCCGTCACAGCCTGTGAATTCGGAGGAGGAGAAAAGACCCTTCTGGATCCACCTTCGCAATTACCGGAAAGCGTAGACACAGTGCCTGAAATATGGAGCAGTTCGTGCTGTCCTTTGCTTAACAATCTTGGTCCCACCTTCCCCCCCCCTTAATCATCCCCTTCGCGGGCAAGTGCGAATCGTATAAAACTCTCCCCATCTCTGGCGTCTCCAACATCGCCTTCGGACTCCTTTCGGCTTTTGCTGTTCAGCTTCTTTTCAGCCCTTGGTGAGTCACCTTCCAAAATTATTTACAGGGTTGAACAAAAAGAAAAATTATGAAATTCTCCAAAATTGCAAAAATTGATCATAGGAATCTGACCGAAAAATCATGAAATTGTTTGTTCAAAAGAGAAATGTCGTTCAGGGGACAAGAGAGCGGAGTGATTCCCCCATCCAGGCAGAACTTTCACCTGGATTCGGAATCCGGCATCTTTGGCCCTTTCTAGCCATGTTGGTGGTGCTGAGTTCAGGTCGCCTCTGCTGCTCTCTGGCCTCTTGAGTCCCTACCTGGAAGCCAGGTATGGCGTTCCTTTGGCCTCGCAAGAGATACTTGTCCCTTCAGACGGTCAAGAGTTTTGTTTGGTTCCCAATTAGGAAGCCTTTATGGACATTTAGAAATTCCTTCCTCAAAGTCTAGGCTTCTTGTGATCCATCAGGGTGATTCCCCCACTCTCTGACCCGGTCCCTGAGCCCCCAACCCGAGAGGGCCCCCAAAACTTCTCTGGTGCAGGGGGCCCCCTGCCCAAACCATGACCTCAGAACCCATTTCACTTGCAGATGTTCAAGATCACAAAGGCTACAGATTAATTTATTATTTTTCCCAGGAGGGAAAGGGCTTCCTCCGTTCCACCGCCAGGGAAAGGCGACGGGACCAGGAGTTTCTCCTGGGGGGACGGAGATGGGGAGGCCGCGAATCCCTTTCCCATCCCTGTTTCCGAGGGAGGCAACCCGGAGGCTGGAGGGGAACCTCAGGGGTGGGGATACGGGTCCCCCTTCGCTCCCCCGGAGTCCTTAATCTTGGCTCTCTCGCTTTTTTCCCCTCAGGACCTGCTCCAGGATGTTGGGCAGATTTGTTGGCATGAACCTCTTTGATGTAATTTATGAACAATACCCATCTTATACTGTGCAACTTCCAGGCTCAATTAGATTTCCTAGATTTGTGCCGATGTCCAGGGTAGAGGGATCCATCATTAGTGGCAGAATACCCTTCTGACCCTGCTACTCCCAGCCTCTCTGACCACGGCCACACCAAGGAGTGTGAACCCCCTTTTGTGACACCCCTCCATCTGCCTCCGTCTCCTCTTCGCTCTCAGGTGGTCTCTGCTCTCCTTCCTTCCTCTCTTGAACCCGGACCGGCCTTCAGGATCACGACGTCTTTCTCCCGCCCCGTTTTCGAGGAACCCTCAAGTCCCGCTCAGAGGGATCCGGCCCGATGGGGCTTCCTTGTCTTCCACCGAGAAGGAGGCGGCGAAAGGGCCTGGCCAAACCCTGAGACAAACAAGGAGCCTTCCTCTCTCCCGGATCCCTTCCCTCCATCCCAGCCAAGACCACCTCCTTTTTCGCCCTTTGCTCTCTCTCTCTCTCCGGCCATCTGAGGAGCGTCTCCTCAAGGGAAAGGCTGCCTTGACTGTTTGTTTTCGGGGAGAAGCTTCTCCGACTTCTTCCTTCCCAATAAAGCTTAACTTCCGGCATCGCACAACGGCCTCCCGTGGTTTTGTCTCCCCCAACCCAGGATCATCCCCCCCAACTCATCCTCCTCTCAGTGGAAAGTTAGGGCTGTCCTGGGCCCAATTCACCAGCTCTATCCTCTTGTCCTCTCCAAGAGAGGGAAGCGACGGTGGCTGCCTTCGGGGCACAAGGTGACTTTCCCCCTTCCTTAGCTCATGAAGGTGAGTGAGCTCAAGAGGGGATCCTGCAGACCCTCCGGACTGCTGTTTTCCTTAGATTGTGTGCATTCAGGTTAGGCTTTATTTATTATTTGCTTAAAATATTTTTATCCTGCCTTTCTCTTTCAAAAGGACTGGAAGCAGCTTACATCATTCAGATACAATATTGTTAAAACCAGAAGATATGCCTCTAGTAAAAAGGATCTTAGAAAAAGTAAACAAAAACACATTCAAAGCAACAACACTCTTGATTTAAAATAAACCCAGTTCGGCAGGCGGTCATCGGGGGAAAGCTCACCCGAAGAGAAAGGTCTTCTTTGCCTGCTTGCCGAGGGACAGGCCAGATGGGGCCAAGCTGGCCTCCAGTGGTAGGGAGTTCCAAAGTCTCTGGGAGCAGCCACAGAGAAGGCCCTCTCCTGTGTCTCCATCACAGTTGGTACCTGTAAAGGTGGCGGGTCCGAGAGATAGGCCGCCCCTGATGATCGTAACACCCAAGCCGACTCATAAAGGGAGTTATCATCTTTAAGATAGCTTGGACCCAAGCCATCCAGGGCATTAGAGGTTAGAATCAGCACTTTGAATGGTGTCTGGAAACGAATCGGGAGCCAGTGGAGCCGCTGGGACAGGATGTGGTTTACGGGATCCTTGTCACCCACCCCAGTCAGCCACCTGGACCCTGGTCTAGAGCTGGAACCGCTTCCTCGGATTTAGGTGGCAAAGAAAGGTAGAGTCGGCATGTATTATCCGCGTATTTCTGAGACCAGCAGCGAAGGTGCCAAAGAGGGAGTCCCCCAGCATTTTGTAAACTGAATGTCCTGGATCCGGGAAAATAACCCTTTTTAGAATAATTGGTTGGATTCTTCTTAAACTAAAAAAAGAGGTCTTAGTTTTGTACAATTTTTAAAGATTTCCTTAGATTTTCCTAGCTCTAACTCTGAACAGTAACTACTGGAATATATAATTGAATGAATAATATTATTTCCCAGAAAACAGGTTACACATCAGGCAATTCAAATGTCTACAAGGATTATTTTTATTTCATTAGAAGCGTTTATCCACTCCTTCTACTCAGACATTTCAAAGAGGTATCCAACATTCATAATTTAAAAAAGGTTATATATATATGCTATATACACACACCAACAAAACCATGGACACAAAAGTAGAAAACTCACAAATTAACAGCCAGGTCCGTGTCGTCCAGAGGTGAACAGGTCTGAGAGACCTTCCTGGAAATTCTCCAAATGCTCTCCTGAACAAAAATGGGGGAAGAGCGATCTTAAATATTTCGGTCCACATCCCTCTTGCTTCATCAACACGTCTGGATGTGCTTAGAAAAGGAACGCTGGGACTTCTGTTCCGATGCTGGCAAGGGCTGGTTCATCAGGCATTGGCAGGAAATTATTTGAAAAGCTAACATCTAAATACCTTCCTTTTTGGGAAAAAAACTGGAAGGGGATTTCTGGCCGTTTCAAGTTTCAACATCTACTCCCCCATCTTTTTGGCGAGACATGTAGTCGCTGCAAGATATCAGGGGTCAAAAACGGCCACCCAGACTCATCAGAAATGATGCAGTCTCTTGTAAGGCTGCACAGAGAAACACGTTTCCTTTTTTAAAACAAAAATACAGTAGAAACCCTATAGCTGCACGGGATTGGTTCCAAGCTCCCCGCAGATGCAGAAAACTGCAGAGAGTAGCAAACTAAAAGGAAAAAAATATCCAGAAAAAAAGCATGGTAAAAGAAAAAATGTCAAAAAAATTTTTCATGATGTGTTTACCATAATCGGCCACTAGAGGGAGGCAGAGACGATGGTATTCATTCCAAGAAAATACATGGCACGGTCTCTGGCTCCCTCTGCAGGCCATTTCTGGTCAATACATCATGAAAATAGACATTTCTTTTTCTATTTACTTCTTTTTAATATTTTCAGATTACAAATAAATGAATCCATGGATAGCAATCCCACAGGGGTTCCACTGTACCTAAAATTGCAGGTAGATATATTTCCGGAGCAAGGGCGTTCCACGCAGCAGGTGTGGCAGCCTAAGAGACCCTGCTCTGAAGAACTGGAGGATCTCACCAAGACGAGTCGGGGTCCCACCAACGCATTGGTATCGGGGCTGAGCGCAGAGGCATGGGCACAGAGCGGGGACCCCCGCCTCAGAGGGGCAGGTAAAGGGAATACCCCGTGTGGGCCCATTTCTTCACCGGCTTGCTGGTCCGCCCGATCATGGGCAGCTTCTGGGCGTAGCGAGAGACCTGGCTGGGTCCGTGGTGCTGGAGGAAGCGGGTCTGAAAGAGGCGCCCCTGGCACCGCCTCTCCGCCTGCCGCCCGGCAATGACGAAGCTAAAGCGAGGCGCCCCCTGCGGGGAGAAGCGCGACTTCTGGAAGACGTCCCGGATGCCCGGGCGGTGCCCCTGCTGGCGCAAAGCGCTGCGGGACCGGGCCAGGCTGGCGGAACGGTGCAAGGCGGGCCGGCCGGCCGAGAATTCGCCCCGGGGGCTCTCCTCCTCTCGGGGGCTCACCGTGGCGTTGGCTGTCAGCTGGGGCATCTTGCGCCCCGTGTCCCCGGCCCCGAAGGCCGGGGGCTCCTTCTTGGCATCCACCACCTTGGGGGCGCTGGCGGGCACCGGTTCTCCCGGGCAGAGCCCCGACCCGGTGCCAAAGCGGGTGGCCAGGCTGTCCCCGAAAAAGCAGTACAGCTCCTGGTAGATCTCATTCAGGGAGACGGCCGGCGGGTTGGCCGAGAGGCCCATCGCCCCCGCCTGGGGCCCGCCGCTGCCCAGCTGCAGCAGGTGGCTGGCGATGCCAAAGCCGAACTCCACCTGGGGGTCCTGGAGGGGGCTGAGCCAAGGGAAGCCCTCCTGGGGGCGCCCCTCTCCGCTGGAGCCCTCCGCCGGGACCGGCACGGAAATCGACTGGGCCTTCATCTTTAGCAGCCGCTCCACAGCGACCTGGAGGACGGGAGGAGGAAAATCAGAATTATAGGACCCACAAGAGGGCCACTCGTCTAGAGCGACTACGAGAAATCCCAGAGCGATTTCTTTCTAAAGTTGAAGTGACCGGACGTGGCTAGTAGAGGGAGCCAGAGACCGCGCTCTCTATAACATTCACTATGAAAATAAGTGTTTGCAATAATCGGCCTTTTTCAACGTCCGCTGGAGGGGCTTGGAGACCATCTCCCGTGGATTCAGAGGATCCTTCTGTACAGGCGGAAACCCATTAATATATGATCTTTATTCCTCTGGCTGGATAGCTCTGTTTAGGCTCCAGGCTCAGGAGCCAGAGATGGGGGCTCTTTGGGGGAAACAGGGGGCTCTCTGCCCGCCCGTCTTGTGGTTCCCCCCCAGGGAGACAGCCAGGATTCCCAGGACAGTTGAAAGGGGCACTAGCCCAGCGGCAAGCGTTTGCAGGCGAGGACACTGGCTGTTCCACAGGGTCCAGGCCTGTGTGTGTGTCGTTTGCTCTGATCTTTAAGGGGGGGGGGAGACTCACCAGGAGGGCCCCGTAGACCTTGTGCCCGTCAGCCTTGACTTGAGCATTGGAGACGGAGTAGTCGTCCAGCACAGCCTGCAAGTTGGACCAGTAGGTGGAGAGGTGCGGGTAGAGAACTCGTTCGACCGCCTGGGCAAGAGAGAGAGAGAGACAGAGAAATGTGGGACCAGTCTGATCAGCCACCCGGCAGAGAGGAGGAAAAAAACAACCACCAAAGGAAACCTCGCCCAGAGCCTCTCACCTTCCACCCGAGGGCGTGGAGGCCCACCACGGCCCCATAGTGGGAGCAGAGGGGTCGGACGGGGTCGGCCAGGACCTTCTGCAGCGAGAGCAGGATCTGGTGGTAGAGGCTGCTCACTAAGTCGCCGTGAGTCCTGCAGGAGCATGGAAGACGGGCTTTTTAAGCAGGGCGCCTCGGTATACACTAGACACCCCTTATCTGTGGGGATCCGTATCCACTGTTTCACTTATCCACTGTTTGAAAATAATAAAAACCACCCCACCCCACCCCGAAAGAGGGCTGTCTTCTGCAAGTCCTGCCTGTGGGCTTCTGGTGTTTACACCGGTGGCCGGCTGGATCCCTGCAATGAAGTGCAGAAACCTTTCCAGGAAGGAGCTTAACTTGGAAATGCCATAAGCTGGTCCTGGGTTTTTAGCTGCCCCCCAGTGCATGAAGGAAGGAACGGAAGGAAGGAAGGAACGGAAGGAAGGAAGGAAGGAACGGAAGGAAGGAAGGAAGGAAGGAAGGAAGGAAGGAAGGAAGGAAGGAAGGAAAGGGTGAGAGAGGGAAAAGAGGGAAACACCCACCCACCCAGCCCTCAAGGGATGCAACCCCCCCAAAAGAGAAGTCCAGAGACCAAAAGATGTGTCCGAGGAGCATGGCCGCGTAGTCACGGAGGGTCCAGTGGTCGTTGAGGGGGTTGATGGAGGCGGCCAGGGGCTCCAGGACGCAGTACATGACGCTGGCGATGAGGCTCTTGACGTAGGAGCCCAGGCAGAGGTAGGGGTTCTGGATGAGGCTCTTGGCCACGTGCAGGAGGCGGTTCAGCTGGTCCAGGTCGTGGCTGACGGACTTCACCTGCGCAAAGCGCCCAAGGTCAACGTCAAGGGTGGGTGGAGACAACAAGGCCCCAAATACCCCCCTAAGCCGGCAGTGGCTGAGCTCAACCTCCCCCACGCAACTCCCAGGGCCTTTCCGTGCAAGAACAGCTGAAGCTGGGCAGGGAAATTGCCTTAAAAAGTTACATTTGTGTGTGTGTGTGTGTGTGTGTGTGTGTGTGTGTGTGTGTATTCTCTGGACTGGCAGCATTTACTGCACTGGGGTGGAAAATC